ACTATGCAAGAGGAAACTATCATTTTCCCGGTCTTTTAGTTATAGTGAAAGTGATGTAAGTGTTGATGAGATTGATTTTATGCCATTAGAGGATTCATTTAGTAATGGTGATCATTATTCACCAGTGAAGCATACTTTTAGGTGTTGTCGCCTACGTTCAGGCAGTGTGCCATGTGCAGTTGGTGGCAAGGGTCGTGGCAGGTCACGATCCAAAACCCCGGCCACTGATAGTGAAAGTGATCTTGAAGGTGAATATGCGGGGATGGAGGAAGTAGTGGTGGGTGGCATGGTGCCTGGACCACATGTCGTGGTGGGTGGATAGACAAAGGACCGCCCGGCACCCCCTCAACCATGTGCTGCCTCCACTCCTGTTACCCCTCCTGCTCCCCCATGCCAGAGGTCTACCCTGCACCATGTGGCTGAGAGTGTAACTGGACACACAGTACAGTGGACCCTCAGGTAACGATGACATCTGCTAGCGATAAAATCGGGTATCGATGCGTCTTTATGTAAAAATATTGGCTCGACCAACGATGAAAACTCGGTTAGGGACATTCGTCCAGAATGCGTCCGGCCTGAGCGCCTCAGCTGCCCTGCCTTAACCCTTTGACTGTTTTGGTCGTATATATACGTCTTACGAGCCACCGTTTTTGACGTATATATACTCCATAAATTCTAGCGGCTTCAAATCAAGCAGGAGAAAGCTGGTATGCCCACATGCGAGAGAATGGGTCTGTGTGGTCAATGTGCACCATATAAAAAGAATCCTGCAGCACGCAGTGCATAACGAGAAAAAAAAACTCCAACCGTTTTTTTTTTTAATTAAAATGCCAACTTTGTGGTCTATTTCCATATAGTATTTATGGTTGTATTCTCGTTCTCACTGTCAGCTGCTGCTGCACCACTGTCAACTGCTGCTGTACCATGGTCAACTGCTGCCACACTGTCAGCTGTTGCTGCACCACTGTCAGCTGTTGCTGCACCAACATCAGCTGTTGCTGCACCACGGTGAGCTGCTGCTGTACCACCGTCAGCTGTTGCTGCACCATGGTCAGCTGCTGCTGTACCACCATCAGCTGTTGCTGCACCATGGTCAGCTGCTGCTGTACCACCATCAGCTGCTGCTGCACCATGGTCAGCTGCTGCTGTACCACCATCTGCTGCTGCACCAACCTCAGCTGCTGCTGCACCACCATCAGCTGCTACTGTACCACTGTCAGCTGCTGCTGTACCATGGTCAATTGCTGCCACACTGTCAGCTGCTGCTGCACCACTGTCAGCTGCTGCTGCACCACTGTCAGCTGCTGCTGCACCACTGTCAGCTGCTGCTGCACCACTGTCAGCTGCTGCTGCACCACTGTCAGCTGCTGCTGCACCACTGTCAGCTGCTGCTGCACCACTGTCAGCTGCTGCTACACCACTGTCAGCTGCTGCTACACCACTGTCAGCTGCTGCTGCACCACTGTCAGCTGCTGCTGTACCATGGTCAACTGCTGCCACACCGTCAGCTGCTGCTGCACCACTGTCAGCTGCTGCTGCACCACTGTCAGCTGCTGCTGCACCACTGTCAGCTGCTGCTGCACCACTGTCAGCTGCTGCTGCACCACTGTCAGCTGCTGCTGCACCACTGTCAGCTGTTGCTGCACCACTGTCAGCTGCTGCTGCACCACTGTCAGCTGTTGCTGCACCACCATCAGCTGTTGCTGCACCACCATCAGCTGTTGCTGCACCACGGTCAGCCGCTGCTGTACCACCGTCAGCTGTTGCTGCACCACGGTCAGCCGCTGCTGTACCACCATCAGCCGCTGCTGTACCACCGTCAGCCGCTGCTGTACCACCGTCAGCCGCTGCTGTACCACCGTCAGCCGCTGCTGTACCACCGTCAGCCGCTGCTGTACCACCGTCAGCCGCTGCTGTACCACCGTCAGCCGCTGCTGTACCACCGTCAGCCGCTGCTGTACCACCGTCAGCCGCTGCTGTACCACCGTCAGCCGCTGCTGTACCACCGTCAGCCGCTGCTGTACCACCGTCAGCCGCTGCTGTACCACCATCAGCCGCTGCTGTACCACCGTCAGCCGCTGCTGTACCACCGTCAGCCGCTGCTGTACCGTCAGCCGCTGCTGTACCACCGTCAGCCGCTGCTGTACCACCATCAGCTGCTGCTGCACCACCATTAGCTGTACTACTCAAAGATTTGGAGAGACTGTTGTTGGTGTGGCTTAACGAGAAACAATTACTATATGCACCAAGAAACAACCCCAGAGGTTTAGCCACCCAGGATAACCCAAGAAAGTCAGTGCATCATCGAGGACTGTGTAACTTATTTTCATTGGGGTCCTTAACCCTTTGACTGTTTCGGTCGTATACATATGTCTTACGCACCACTGTTTCTGACGTATTTATACACGTAAATTCTAGCGGCTTCAAATCAAGCGGGAGAAAGCTGGTAGGCCCACATGTGAGAGAATGGGTCTGTGTGGTCAGTGTGCACCACATAAAAAAAATCCTGCAGTATGCAGTGCGTAATGAGGAAAAAAAACTTTGACCGTTGTTTTGGATTAAAACGCCGACTTTGAGGTGTATTTTCTTATAATATTTATCTTTGTATTCTCGTTTTCATGGTCTCAGGTGATAAAATGGAAAACATATTACAGAAATAGAGATGATTTTAATTACTTTCATGATGAAAACGACCTTGAAATTGAGCTCAAATTAGCGGAAATGTTTGATTTTTACCAATGTTCAGGAGTGAGCAAATCACACCACACGTCCAATACCCTTCAACTGGGGAGTCTGATATTCTTTCACTTGTGCACTGATATTATTTATACCATTTTTACAATAGTGCAGTAGTCTGCATAACAGTAAATTTTGTATTTTTTGCATGAATAAAAAATGAAAATAAGAAGCAATAGTAATATAAGAGGGGCCTAGAGACGTGACTAATGAACAGAGGATATGTTATTTTAGTGCCAAGAATTTCTACATTGTTTATTCTGGACCCTATTTTGAAATTAGCATCTTTTTTAATTTGCATGAAAGTGGTCAAATTGCCAATTTCTGACCACTTTATTGGGTAGTTCTGGTCGGTAAATGGGCTGTTTCTTGTACTCAACTGATAGAAAAAATGGAGTTCTAAAGAAATAGCAATGAGTTTTGTCAACTGGAACAACGGAATTGGCCAAAAACGGGGATCAAAGTCGGCGAAATTGCCGATGCGTGTATGTCGCCAAGACCGCTAACTTCACGGGAGCATAATGCCATGAGTTTTCGACCAAATTTCGTACTTTTGGTGTCATTGCTATCGGGAAAAGATTCTCTATCATATCATAAGTTTTTTTTTTTTTCCAAAAATTTTGCGACATAGAATGACAGTTTCAGAAAGGGGCTTGCGGCAGTCAAAGGGTTAATGCCGCTATGCTCATTTACACATGCTGGACATTTTCTTTTATGTATACAGGCCATCTTTTTCTTGCTAGAGCCTGTGAAAATGGCTTATCAATTAAAAAGATAGTTTTTCCAAACAAGCTGAAAATTATAGTATATTGTTGCTGTAACTTAGTGAAAGTCTGAGCACAAAATTAATGTTTTATTTGTTAAATAATCCTAACTTTCTGGGTCAGTTTGCCTGACATTATATAGATTAGGTTGGATTAAGCTGTATTACATGAATTCTAGCATGGCTAGGTCACTTGATAATTAAGTTTTGTTTCAAAATAATATGTATTTCTACCATGTTAATTCTTGTGAATGCATCTAGCAGTTCATTAGGAAAATTAACCCTTTGACTATTTTGGTCGTATGTACTATATATACGTCTTACAAGCCACAGTTTTTGACGTATATATACTCATAAATTCTAGCGGCTTAAAATCAAGCAGGAGAAAGCTTGTAGGCCCACATGTGAGAGAATGGGTCTGTGTGGTCAGTGTGCACCATATAAAAAAAATCCTGCAGCACGTACTACATAATGAGAAAAAAAACTCTACCTTTTTTTTTTTTATTAAAATGCCGAATTTGTGGTCTATTTTCGTATAGCATTTATGGCTGTATTCTCGTTTTCTTGGTCTCATTTGATTGAATGGAAAACATATAGAAATAGAGGTGATTTTGATTGGTTTTACTATAAAAAGAACCTCGAAATGGAGCTCAAAGTAGGGGAAATGTTTGATTTTTGCCAATGTTCAAAAGTAAACAAATGATGTCATTTTCCAATAAATGCCCAAGTAGCCATTCTAATATTCAGTCATGAAGGGTTGACATTATTTATACAATTATTACATTATTGCAGTAGTCTGTATAACAGTAAATCTTCTATTTTTTGTCTGAATAAAAATTCAAAATAGAAATCAAGAGTAACAGAGGGACCTGCAGACGTGACTGATGAACAAAGAAAATGTTATTTTAGAGACGGGAATGTCTGCATTGTTCATTCTGGACCATATTTTGAAATTGTCATATTTTTTAATTTTTGTGAAATTGGCCAAATTGCAAACTTCTGACCATGTTTTTAGGTAGTTGAAATTGGTAAATGGGCAGTTTCTTGTACTCAATTGATAGAAAAATTGGAGTTCTAAAGAAATAGCTATGAGTTTGGTTGACTGGAACAATGGAATTAGTCGAAAATAGGGCTCAAAGTGGGCGAAATCGCCGATTCGTAAATATTGCTGAGGTGCCGAGGTCGCTAACTTCGCGAGAGCGTAATTCTGTCTGGTTTTCCATCAGATTTCGTTTTTTTGGTGTCATTGCAATCGGGAAAAGATTCTCTATCATTTCATTATTATTATTATTTTTTTTTTTTTTTTTTTTTTTTTTTTTTTTTTTTTTTTTTTTTTTTTTTTTTTTTTTTTTTTTTTTTTTTTTTTTTTTTTTTTTTTTTTTGAAATTTTGCGACACCAGGAGACACTTCAGGATTTGGGGTTGTCAGCCAAGGGGTTTAAAAGTGTGTTATGGAGATTTATGTTGTGAAAATTGCATATTTATGTTATCTTTATCCACAGATGAGGGAATTGTGTCATCTCCTGTAAACAGTATAGACTTGGATAGGGATTCTCCACTGGGAGGAGCTCTTGACGATGAGGAAGATGGTGGACCACCAAGCATTGAGACACAGCCTCCAGATGATGTTGATGATTTATCAGTGTCTTGCATAACTTATGGATGGATAAGGTATGTTTTATACCACTACCTATAAATATGGGTCTGGTGGTATGTAGTATTTTCTGTGTACCGTAAATACCCAAGTGTAACCTGACTCCATGTTAGTAGACCAGACAGATGCGAGATGAGCCTTGCTCATGGTCGGGCTTCAGGAGTAGAAAAACTTGGAACTCATCAAGGGTATATAGGTCAACCCCTGACGTTTTGTCACTAAATTCTTAATTTTTTCATATTTCTCATGGATAAATCTGCCCAAGTTTTTGAGAGACCTCAAAAGTGGTCAAATACATGATAATGTGACAGTTGATAACAATAGTGAGACTGCAGTAGGCCTGCTGATCCATGCTAGGTAAGTCATACTCAAGTTCAAGCTTTCTTACTCATATATTTATCCAGTTTATTTTTAATACTACCCAAGGAAGGCAGGCTGTCCAGCATGCATGCAGGCAGGCAGGTTAGGGGGCTTACAGGCAGGCAGGTCAGGGGGCTTCCAGGCAGGCAAATCAGGGGGCTAATAGGCAGGCAGGCCAAGAGGCTAGCAGGCCAGCAGGCAGGCCAGGAAGCTAGCAAGGTGGGAAGCAAACCAGGAGGCTAGCAGGCTGGGAAGCAGGCCAGGAGGCAGGCACGACAGCAGGCTGCCATGCAGGTATGGAGTGTAGGGCACAGCAGGGCATGACAATTCAGGCTAGGGCAGGGCAGGGAAGACCAGGCTAGGGCAGGGCAGGGTAGACCAGGCTAGGGCAGGGTAGACCAGGCTAGGGTAGGGCAGGGTAGACCAGGCTAGGGCAGGGCAGGGTAGGCCAGGCTAGGGCAGGGCAGGGTAGGCCAGGCTAGGGCAGGGCAGGGTAGGCCAGGCCAGGCCAGGGCAGTGCAGGGCCACCTCACATCTGTGTTTCTCTTGTAGAGATTGGTAAAGACATGTAGATTTAGCATTTAATATTTAGGCTGTTGGAGACTGCCCACGTCTAGTACACGTATTTGATAGGTCATCAGCTGTTGTCAACAAAGGGTGGCTTTGTAATAATAATAATAATCTTTATTTCTACAAGTACATATGCAAGGTGTACAGGCCTAACTGACATCAGTGACATACAACTATATAGAAAGCCCCTTGTTATACAGAGCATTTCAGGCAAATTAGGTCAGTTTTGTACCCAGGATGTGACCCACACCAACTGACTAACACCCAGGTTCTTATTTTACTGATAGATGAACATTGGACAGCAGTGTCTTAACTGTCCAAACGTAGATCTACGTTCTCTCACCCAGCGCTCCAAATATTTTGATTTTTTTTTTTTAAATAGAGTATATTTTTTTTGTATGGAATAATCTAAAAAAAATTTTAGTCAGTACTTACAGAGATATAAGGCCTCAAAGTCAGCACTTGTCGCTCACCTGATGGCAATGTGAAGTGCTGCCGCTTGCAGAAGTGTTGCCGATATACCTTTTTTCTCATTTTTTTAAATTTACATAATATTTGTTTTGATAATTAAAATTTGTAGTAGTTCTTGTGATTTCATAGCCAATATTTGTTCTGACACTAATATTAGGTAGTGAAATAGTACTCAAATAGTCATAAACACAGTGACAGGTGAACATTTTCACCTACCTTAGTCACATACTATTGTCTAGAAATATATACAGTGTACATAGTATTTATAGGTCCCAGCAATGTTTTGGACACACAGGAGTAAGACAAATGTCACTCCACTGCTGACAGTGCAGCAGTGGAGCGACATTTGATGATCATGCACTGCCTTGGCTTTATTTGTTTTCACTGTTACACATAAACATTGTCTGTCTATCTGTTTGTCCATCTGTCTAGCTCTGTCTGCTTGTCTCTGTCTCTTTCTGTCTCAGAGAGAGTGACTCGTGAGCGAACAGGTATTACACATGATGCAGAGTAGTCACATCTGATTCCTGAACAAGTGAAAATGTGTATTACTTGCCAACCATGCTTATTATGCATTATATCTACAAGCACCATATAGCACTTTATCTGGATTTTTTGGGTTATTCTAGGTAATTTATACTGTGTGTAATTGTATTTATGTACCTGTGAGAGAGAGAGAGAGAGAGAGACAGACATAGACGGAGAGAGACTGAGACAGAGACAGATGGAGTTACAGGCAGAGAGAGAGACAGTAACAGAGAGAGAGAAACAGAGATAGAGCGATAGAGATAGACAGCGACAGAGATTGACAGCGACAGAGATAGAGACAGCGACCGGCCGAGACAGCGACCGGCAGAGGCAGAGACCGGCCGGCAGAGGCAGAGACCGGCCGGCAGAGGCAGAGACCGGCCGGCAGAGGCAGAGACCGGCCGGCAGAGGCAGAGACCGGCCGGCAGAGGCAGACACAGACAGATAGAGAGAGAGAGAGAGAAAGAGAGAGAAAGAAAGAGAAAGAGAGAGAGAAAGAAAGAAAGGGAGAGAGAGAGAGGAAGAGAGAGAGAGAAAGAGAGAGAGAGAAAGAGAGAGAGAGAGAAAGAGAGAGAGAAAGAGAGAGAGAGAAAGAGAGAGAGAGAGAGAGAGAGAGAGAGAGAGAGAGAGAGAGAGAGAGAGAGAGATGTTGACAACCAAGTGAAAGCCTTCACTGGACACATCCTTAATCTACAACAAGAACACATTCCTCACCGGCAATATGTGACGAAGCCTACAGATCAGCCTTGGTTTGGCTTTCGTTGTAGAGAGGCTGCTACTGCTAAGTACAAAGCATGGCGAAGGTATAAGAGACATCCTACCACCTATAACAGGAACTTGCACACGCAAGCCTGTAGGCATATGGGTGATGTTCAAAAGTGGGCCATTGCTAAATGGGAGGTGGACACTAAAAGAAAGCTAGCATCAGTTAGGGTAGGCTCCTGGTCAAGGACAAACAAGGTTATCTGCCTGATGAACTTATTCCACCTCTAAATCGACAGGATGGGACCACATCTACTAGTAGTCAAGAGAAGGCGGACCTCTTTGCTGAACACTTTGCTACCAAAATGCAAGTTCCTAATCCAGCAAGGAACCCTCCTTGGCTAGCTGCAAGAACTGTGTCAAAACTGTCAGTGGTGACAATAAGGCAGGAGGAGGTGCATTTCCTTCTTAAATCGCTTGACCAAGAAAAGGCTGTGGGCCCAGACAAGTTGAGCCCAAGATTGTTGAGAAGATGTGCAGACCAGCTAGCAGCACCTCTAACTCGCATCTTTCAGCACTGCCTAGTACAGTGTAAATGGCCCTCTCTATGGAAAGAGGCAAATGTAGTCCCTGTTCACAAAAAGAAGAGCAGAGCAAAAATCAGCAACTACAGACCAGTGTCACTCCTGTCAATCACTGGTAAGATCCTTGAGACAATAATCTCAAGACAAATGACAGAGTCTTTTGACTACCACTCACTACTTTGTGATGGTCAATATGGCTTCAGGAAAAGTTACTCTGCTGCTGATCTGTTATTAAACCTCTCCACTAAGTGGCACCAGTCACTGGATGAATCCAAAGTCAGCTGTGTCTTAGCACTGGACATTGCTGGCTCTACGCTATGTCTCCTCAGTGATTACCTTCATGGTAGATCTCTAAGTGTAGTTCTCAATGGAACGGAATCAGCAAGACATCCTATTGGGGCAAGTGTTCCACAAGGAAGCGTGCTGGGTCCATTGTTATGGAATGTCTACTTCAATGACCTTCATCTCATCCCAGAATCACATGCATATGCAGACGACTGTACACTGACATTCACTTATCCAAGAGAAGAAATGCCAGCTGCTCTAAGCTGCATCAATCACCAGCTGAGAGCTATATCAGCTTGGGGAAATAGATGGCAAGTAACATTTGCACCTGAGAAAACGCAAATGATGATTGTCTCTAGGCACCATGATGGTAATGCTGGTGCAGTAGTAAGGATGAATGGGAGGGTGTTGGCACCTGGAGAAGAAGTTGATATCCTTGGGGTGAAATTTGACTCCAAACTAACCATGAAGAACCATGTTATAAATCTTGCAAACAAGGCAGCCAGGAAGCTTACAGAACTTCGCCGTATCTCGCATCTGCTTGACAGTAGGGGTTGCAAGATCCTGTACGAGGCACAAGTACGCTCACACCTTGAGTATGCTCCACTTTCTTGGTTTGCCTGCCCCCCCCTCTCATCTGCGACTGCTTGACAGAGTAGAGAACAGAGCAAGACGTCTCATCTCTCGCCTGGACCCATCTTGGATAGATCTGTCATTTCAGCAGAGCCTTCAACATAGGAGGGATGTGGGTGGCCTTACTGTTATGTACAAGGCCAATATTGTCAAAATACCACACTTGGATCCACTTCGAGGACAGCATGAAACAAGCTTTTATGCCACAAGACGGGCAGAAAGCAGCAACTTCACTCTGGCTATACCCTTCTCCAGAACATCACTCCATCTGAGATCATATATACCCAGGATGACTCGAGTATGGAACACATTCGTACAGCATAATGATGTCAACGAGATAAAGTCAGTTGATCAAATGAAAATGCTGGCCCACAGATGGCTCCAACTTCATCCTGTTCCCTACTTGTATGTCTCATAACAATAAAAATGCTTTCAAATGAGCTGATGTAGGCAACAGCTCTTAGCTTGCCATTAAAGTTAGGAATCCTTAACCTGTAAATAGCTTGTCAATAAAGCTAGGGATCCTTAACCTTGTGTAAAAAAAAAAAAAAAGATAGAGATAGAGATGGACTGAGACAGACGAAGATAGAGACGGCCAATTAGCCAGCCAGCCAACCAGCCAGCCTGCCGAACATGTATTACACATTCCAAAATTGTTTCTTTACTTACGGCATAGGTTATAGGTCATTCTGGCAGGATGACACTACCAGTGGTACCAAAATTGAAGGATGTTACACATGGGTTATTATCGAGGTTTTTGATATTTCCTCAACCACTTGTGGCCACATCCATGGGCCACATGACATGGGTCAACATCGCTTTCCTCTTAAGAGGAATGTTAATACGACATAACATCAGTGAATCCCTGGTGTTTACCATGCTGTTTGCTCTAGCTGGTACTCAGTTGAACTGGTACTCCCACAAGGTACTAATTGGTCTCAGATTTTTTTTTAACCCTTTCAGGGTCCATGCCGTAGTTCTACGGCTTTGAGTTGAGGGTCCAAACCATAGATCTACGCTATGAGCTCAGCTCACTCTGCTAAGCTGTGAGTGGTAAATTTGGGCCTAGATATGAGAGAATACATCTATGTAGTATGTGTGCTCCACATAAAACAAATCCTGCAGCACACAGTGCATGATGAGAGAAAAAACCGAGACCGTAATTTTTTATTAAAACAGTGACGTTGCAATGTTTTTTCGAATGTTTTTTATAGGAGTATTTGTGCTTTCTTGGTCTCATTTTATAGAATGGAAGATTTTTTACAGAAAGAGATTATTTTGAATGGTTTAATACTGGAAATGGCTTGAAACTGAGCTCAAAGTAGTGGAAATGTTAAATTTTTACCGATGTTCAAGAGTAAAAAAAATAACCTCACACGTCTAATACATGCCAGCTGGTGGGTCTAATACACGTTCACAAATGTGGTGATATTATTTATACAATTATTACAATATTGCAAAGCAGTAAATCATCTTTTTTTGGTTTGAATAAAAATTCAATATGCGAATAAAAAATCAAAATAGAATTCATTTGTAAAGCCTGAAAACATAACCAATGAATAGAGGAAATGTTAGTTTAGTGCCAGGAATGCCTGCATTGTTTATTCTGGACCCTATTTTGAAATTGAAATATTTTGAACTTTGCATTAAATTGGCCAAATTACCAATTTCCAATCACTTTATTTTGTAGTTGAAACAGTTGATTTGGCAATTTCTTGTGCTTGGTTGATAGAATAGAAGTAATACTAGTGAAATAGCGAAGAATTTGGTCAACTGGAATAATGTAATTCGCCTAAATTGGGAGTCAAAGTTGGCAAAATCGCCGATGCGTAAATATCGCTGACACACCAAAATTTGTGAGACCATAATTTCGTCAATTTTCCATCTTTTGTTTTATTACCTTCAGAAAAAGATTTTCTATCATTTCATAAGAAAAAATAGCAAAATATTTTTTTAAAAATTCTTGGACCCTGGTGCACACTTTGAAATTTGGCCTCTGGACCCTGAAAGGGTTTATATTGCACACACTGAATATAAGACCCATTCTATGCTGACCAGGCATCTCAGGCCAATCATGCCAAATTTGGAGGCAGGAAAAATAAAACGTTGATATATGTTTGGAGTGCTAGCTGTAACAACAAAGATCTATGTTTGGACAGTTAAGGGGTTAAGGAAACACGTCCTGTTGAGTGTGCTAGCAATCAAGCTATGGGACATCCTAGGTTGGGATTGGTGGGGAGACAATGTAGGAGACTGGCTACACAACTTGCTACACCACCTTCCTTAACCCCCCTCCAGTGTGTTAAAAAAAAAAAATCAAAGAATACATTTTTTTTTTATTAACACATCGGCCAATTCCCACCAAGACAGGGTGGCCCAAAAAAGAAAAACTTTCATCATCATTCACTCTATCACTGTTTTGCCAGAGGGGTGCTTTACACTACAGTTATAAAACTGCAACATTAACACCCCTCCTTCAGAGTGTAGACACTGTAGTTCCCATCTCCAGGACTCGAGTCCGGCCTGCCGGTTTCCCTGAATCCCTTCATAAATGTTACTTTGCTCACTCTCCAACAGCACGTCAAGTATTAAAAACCATTTGTCTCCATTCACTCCTATCATATACTCTCATGCATGCTTGCTGGAAGTCCAAGCCCCTCGCACACAAAACCTCCTTTACCCTCTCCCTCCAACCCTTCCTAGGCCGACCCCTAACCCGCGTTCCCTCCACTACAGATTTATACTCAGTCATTCTGTTTTGTTATATTCTCTCTACATGTCTGAACCACCTCAACAACCCCTCCTCAGCCCTCTGGATAATAGTTTTGGTAATCCCACTCCTCCCATGCACGAAGTTCTTTGTCTCTACAGACTGCACCACTCACCCTTTTCCCCTCATCAATTCTATGATTCACCTCATCTTTCATAGACCCATCTGCTGACACGTCCACTCCTAAATATCTGAATACATTCACCTCCTCCATACTCTCTCCCTCCAATCTGATATCCAATCTTTTGTCACCGAATCTTTTTGTTATCCTCATAACCTTACTCTTTCCTATATTCACATTTAATTTTCTTCTTTTACATACCCTACCAAATTCATTCACCAACCTCTGCAGCTTCTCTTCAGGATCTCCCAGAAGCACCGTGTCATCAGCAAAGAGCAACTGTGACAACTCCCACTTTGTGTTTGATTCTTTGTCTTTTAACTCCACACCTCTTGCCAAGACCCTACCATTCACTTCTCTTACAACCCCATCTATAAATATGTTGAACAACCACAGTGATATCACACATCCTTGTCTAAGGCCTACTTTTACCAGGAAATAATCTCCCTCTCTCTGACTTACTCTAACCTGAACCTCACTATCCTTGTAAAAACTCTTCACTGCTTTCAGTAACCTGCCTCCTATACCATACACCTGCAACATCTGCCACATTGCCCCCCTATCCACCCTGTCATATGCCTTTTCTAAATCCATAAATGCCACAAAAACCTCTTTACTCTTATCTAAATACTGTTCACTTATATTTTATTTTATTTTATTATCACACTGGCCGATTCCCACCAAGGCAGGGTGGCCCGAAAAAGAAAAACTTTCACCATCATTCACTCCATCACTGTCTTGCCAGAAGGGTGCTTTACACTACAGTTTTTAAACTGCAACATTAACACCCCTCCTTCAGAGTGCAGGCACTGTACTTCCCATCTCCAGGACTCAAGTCCACCCTGCCGGTTTCCCTGAACCCCTTCATAAATGTTATTTTGCTCACACTCCAACAGCACGTCAAGTATTAAAAACCATTTGTCTCCATTCACTCCTATCAAACACGCTCATGCATGCCTGCTGGAAGTCCAAGCCCCTCGCACACAAAACCTCCTCTACCCCCTCCCTCCAACCTTTCCTGGGCCGACCCCTACCCCGCCTTCCTTCCACTACAGACTGATACACTCTTGAAGTTATTCTGTTTCGCTCCATTCTCTCCACATGTCCGAACCACCTCAACAACCCTTCCTCAGCCCTCTGGACAACAGTTTTGGTAATCCCGCACCTCCTCCTAACTTCCAAACTACGAATTCTCTGCATTATATTCACACCACACATTGCTCTCAGACATGACATCTCCACTGCCTCCAGCCTTCTCCTCGCTGCAACATTCATCACCCATGCTTCACACCCATATAAGAGCGTTGGTAAAACTATACTCTCATACATTCCCCTCTTTGCCTCCAAGGACAAAGTTCTTTGTCTCCGCAGACTCCTAAGTGCACCACTCACCCTTTTCCCCTCATCAATTCTATGATTCACCTCATCTTTCATAGACCCATCCTCTGACACGTCCACTCCCAAATATCTGAATACATTCACCTCCTCCATACTTTCTCCCTCCAATCTGATATCCAATCTTTCATCACCTAATCTTTTTGTTATCCTCATAACCTTACTCTTTCCTGTATTCACTTTCAATTTTCTTCTTTTGCACACCCTACCAAATTCATCCACCAATCTCTGCAACTTCTCTTCAGAATCTCCCAAGAGCACAGTGTCATCAGCAAAGAGCAACTGTGTCAACTCCCACTTTATGTGTGATTCTTTATCTTTTAACTCCACGCCTCTTGCCAAGACCCTCGCATTTACTTCTCTTACAACCCCATCTATAAATATATTAAACAACCACTGTGACATCACACATCCTTGTCTAAGGCCTATTTTTAAACTGGGAAATAATTTCCCTCTTTCCTACATACTCTAACTTGAGCCTCACTATCCTCGTAAAAACTCTTCACTGCTTTCAGTAACCTACCTCCTACACCATACACCTGCAACATCTGCCACATTGCCCCCGTATCCACCCTGTCATACGCCTTTTCCAAATCCATAAATGCCACAAAGACCTCTTTAGCCTTATCTAAATACTGTTCACTTATGTTTCACTGTAAACACCTGGTCCACACACCCCCTACCTTTCCTAAAGCCTCCTTGTTCATCTGCTATCCTATTCTCCGTCTTACTCTTAATTCTTTCAATAATAACTCTACCATACACTTTGCCAGGTATACTCAAAAGACTTATCCCCCTATAATTTTTGCACACTTTTATCCCCTTTGCCTTTATACAAAGGAACTATGCATGTTCTCTGCCAATCCCTAGGTACCTTACCCTCTTCCATACATTTATTAAATAATTGCACCAACCACTCCAAAACTATATCCCCACCTGCTTTTAACATTTCTATCTTTATCCCATCAATCCCGGCTGCCTTACCCCCTTTCATTTTACCTACTGCCTCACGAACTTCCCCCACACTCACAACTGGCTCTTCCTCACTCCTACAAGATGTTATTCCTCCTTGCCCTATACACGAAATCACAGCTTCCCTATCTTCATCAACATTTAACAATTCCTCAAAATATTCCCTCCATCTTCCCAATACCTCTAACTCTCCATTTAATAACTCTTCTCTCCTATTTTTAACTGACAAATCCATTTCTCTATATGTTCACCTATATGTTTCACTGTAAACACTTGGTCTACACACCCCTTACCTTTCCTGAAGCCAAAATTAAGAATTATTACCTGTTTGTCATAGTTAAAAGTAAGAGTAAGTGACTTTTTTAACAGGTCTGATGACAGTCATTACGGAAACTCCCACCCGGGATTAGGTTACTCCATAATCAACACTGAGGCACCAGATAATGCTGACTCATCAGGCCTTAGTGAGATGCCAGGATTGGAACCTGGTGATTTTGGTGTTGGTCCTGTATATGGTCCTCACATGCCAGGAACATTTAATAGTCCTACCCATGAATCAGGAGCACTCTCATATGGAGATGTCACAGGTAATTATTAATATTTCCCATGAGGAGAGTTATACTGTTGTGATTATTTTACTGAGGTTAATGTCTGATTTTGTTAATGAGACATTGTGACTATATACTGTATATATACACTTACAGGAATTTTACAGATGACTTGCATAATGTAGCCTGAAGATTCTTGTTTTATGTATAACATGCATAGTATTTTAATAATGTTTGATTAAATTTTGTGTTTTCTTGCTCTCATTTCAATGTAATAGTAATAGTTTAGCTCCACAGTATATCCATAGCTACAAAAATATGCTGACATCTGACAGTACACATGAAAAGCTGTTTATGCAGAGATTTTGGGCAAACTGCACATAAAGCACAAAATTGTGACCATAATAAATATTGTAGGTGACTAAAATGCCAGGAGGAAGGGGGCTAGTAACCCTTTCTTCTGTATAAATTACTAAATGTATAAAAAGAAGATAAACTTTCATTTCTTCTGTTTTGGGTCACCCTGCCTTGGTGAGAAATAACCAGTATGTTAAAAATAAAAATACTGTTTTGAAGTGAGATTGCTAGGTTGAGAAAACCTAGGGAACCAATGAATTTGACAGTTAATAACAGAAGAGGGAAGTTAGTAGATGGAGTTGGGGGTACAAGGAAGATGGCAGGAATACATATTTTGATGAGTTCTCAAATGTTGTTGAAGATGGGGAAGCTGTTATTTCATGCATTAGCCAGGGTGGTGTAACATCCTGTAGGAGTGAGGAGAAGCCAGATGTGAGAGTGGTGGAGTTGCGTGAGGCATTGGGTAAAATGAAATAGGGTAAAACACCTGGGATTGATGAGATCAAGACAAATGTTAACCCTTTCAGGGTTTCGGCCGTACTAGTACGGCTTATGCACCAGGGTTTTTGACGTACTAGTACGCCTAAATTCTAGTGCCCTCAAATCGAGTGAGAGAAAGCTGGTAGGCCTCCATGTGAAAGAATGGGTCTATATGGTCAGTGTGCACAGTATAAAAAAATATTGCAGCACACAGTGCGTAATGAGAAAAAAAAAAACTGTTTTTGGATTAAAACAGCGACTTTGCACTGTATTTTCGTATGGTATTTATTGTTGTATTCTAGTTTTCCTGGTCTCATTTTATAGAATGGAAGACATATTACAGAAATTGAGATGATTTTGACTGGTTTTACAAAGAAAACTACCTTGAAATTGCTCTCAAAATAGCAGAAATGTTCGATTTTTACCAAAAAGTAAACAAATCATGCTATGCGTCCAATACACATCAACTCGTGAGTCTAATATTCTTTCACAAGTGCACTGATAATGTTTATACCATTTCTACACCAATGCAGTAGTCTGCATAACAGTAAATCTTCTATTTTTTTTTTTTGTGAGAATAAAAATTCAAAGTGGAAAGCAAAAGAATGTAAGAGGGGCATGGGGACGTGACTAATGAATAGAGGAAATGTTATTTTAGTGCCAGGAATGTCTCTTGTCTGGACCCTATTCGGAAATTTGCATCTTTCGAAATTTGTGTGAAATTGGCAAAATTGCTAAATTCTGACCACTGTATTGGATAGTTGAAATTGGTAAATGGGTGGTTTCTTATACTCATTCGATAGAAAAAATGGAGTTCTAGCAAAATAGTTATGATTTTTGTCGACTAGTGCACAGGAATTGGCCGAAAATAGGGCTCAAAGTGGGCAAAATCGCAGATGCATAAACATCGTCGAGACCGCTAACTTCCCGAGAGCATGATTCCGTAAGTTTTCCATCAAATTTCATACTTTTGGTGTCCTTATGATCGGGAAAAGATTCTCTATCTTTTCATGAGAAATAATAATTTTTTTTTTTTAAATTTGGCCAACCCTGAGAACAAGTCTCGGAGAGGGCCTGTCGACCCTGAAAGGGTTAAAAGCAGGCCAATATGTAGTTTTGGAGTGATTGGTCCTTTTTTTTTTTATGCTGGCCATCTCCCACTATGGCAGGGTGACCTTGAGATTGGCAGAGAGCATGCATAGTTTATTGTACAAAGGAAAGGGAGACAAATGAGAAGGCAAAAAATTATAGGGGAATAGGCCTGTAGAGTATACCAGGCAAAGAATTAAGGATATGATGAATAGCAGGTTTGCAAATCAAGAAGGCGGCTCAAACCCTTCAACTGTCTAAACGTAGATCTACATTTTCCCTACTAGCACTCCAAATATTTTGGAAAAAAAAAAATAAAATTGGAGGGCAGTTTTGTGTGTGTAATAAGACCAAAAAAAAATTTTAGGACCAGTACTTACTGAGATATAAGACTGTGAAGTTGGCGCTGGATGCTCACCTGATGGCAATGTGGAGTCCTGCCACTTGCAGAAGTGTTGCCAGTATATCTTTTTTTTCTTGTTTTTATTTTAATTTACATATTTTTTATGTTCTAATAATTACAATTTGTAGTAGCTCTTGTGATTTTATAGTCAATCTTTATTCTGACACTAATATTAGGTACTCAAATAGTCACAAACACACTGATAGGTGAACATTTTCAACTGCCTTGGTCACATACTATTGTAGAGAAATATATACATAGTATTTATAGGTCTCAGCAATATTTTAGACACTCTGAGGTATATATGAAACTCCTTGAAGCACGGTGTTCTTGCCAAATGTCATGTTCATTAAATATTTTTTTTCGATTGTAACTCGGATTTTGGCTCACAACTCGAAGCAAAAAATTGACTGAGTGATGGCTCATAACTCAGAAAACTCATAAGTTGGGGCTCTCGTAAGTCAAGGTACCACAGTACAGTATATTCATTATACTTCCTGTGTGTTCAATAAGGCCAGAAATATTTGAACAGAAAACTAAATATTCCTCTTTGTCGAAGAACTGAGTGAATTCCGCTTCATGATGACGGTACCAAGCGAATGTTGTTCCAGGAGCTATAAGCCTGTGTTCCTTCAGTCTAAAGCCAAGTAACTGTGCACTTTCTTTTGAGCTCAACTTGGTTGAAGGGTTTGGGATCATTTGTTGGTGGTTCATGGTCTACTTCCATCTCCTTAGAATCACTGGTATCAGACTATGATGAAATTTGCGATGTCTCAGATGTCACAAGTACAAGAATATCTTGAGTGCAACAGGCCTGATTGCTGAAGGAATATTTGGATATATTATGCAATCTTTAGTCTTCTTGTTGAATCCAGCTACTTAGTCATACAAAAGTAGCAGTCAGCATGGTGGTTCATCTGCTCCTGCCATACCATTGGTACTCCATTTAACCCTTTGGGGGTTTTGGCCGTACTAGTACGGCTTACGCCCCAGGGTTTTTGACGTACTAGTAAGCCTAAATTCTAGCGCCCTCAAATCTAGTGAGAGAAACCTGGTAGCCCTACATATAAAAGAATGGGTCTGTGGTCAGTGTGCGTAGTATAAAAAAAATCCTGCAGCACAGTGTGTAATGAGAAAAAAAAACTTTGACCATGTTTTTTGGATTAAAACAGCGACTTTGCACTGTATTTTCGTATGGTATTTATTGTTGTATTCTAGTTTTCTTGGTCTTATTTTATAGAATGGAAGACATATTACAGAAATTGAGATGATTTTGACTGGTTTTACAATGAAAAGTACCTTGAAATTGAGCTCAAAGTAGCAGAAATGTTCGATTTTTACCAAAGTTCAAAAGTAAACAAATCATGCCAAGCGTCCAATACAGGTCAACTGGTGAGTCTAATATTCTTTCACAACTGCTCTGATATTATTTATATCGTTTCTACACTAATGCAGTAGTCTGCATAACGGTAAATCTTCTATTTTTTGTAAGAATAAAAATTCAAAGTGGAAAACCAAAGAAATATAAGAGGGGCCTGGGGATGTGACTAACGAACAGAGAACTTGCTATTTTAGTGCCAGGAATGTCTTTCTTGTTTATTCTGGACCCTATTCGGAAATTGGCATCTTTTGAAATTTGTGTGAAATTGGCAAAATTGCTAAATTCTAACCACTTTATTGGATAGTTGAAATCTATAAATGGGTGGTTTCTTGTACTCATTTGATAGAAAAAATAGAGTTCTAGCGAAATAGTTATGATTTTTGTTGACTAGTACACTGGAATTGGCCGAAAATAGGGCTCAAAGTGGGCAAAATCGCCGATGCGTAAACATTGTAGAGACCGCTAACTTCGCGAGAGCATAATTCCGTAAGTTTTCCATCAAATTTCATACTTTTAGTGTCATTATGATCGGGAAAAGATTCTCTATCTTTTCATAAGTTTTTTTTTTTTTTTTTTTTTTTTTTTTTAATTTTGGCGACCCTGAGAACAAGTCTCTGAGAGGGCCATCGACCCCCAAAGGGTTAAGTTTTCCAAGTGACCACATTGGGAGCTTTGTGTGGCACAAATGGTTTGTCCTGGTCTCCAAGTTTGCAGCCAAAATAAGCAAAGTAGCAGCACTTCAATAAAGGAGTAATGCTGCTCCAGGAATCTGAAAGGGTGAATTGCCCGCAGACATAGCAAAATACGTCTGGTGAATTTATGCAGCCTCTAGACATACTAATAATCTGAAAATAAAGAAAAATTGATTAGATTTAACATTTAAGTGGAATGAGAATCTTTCCTCCGTAAGCCATGTGTGTTGTAAAAGTCAAATAAAATGCCAGGAATGATGGGCTAGTAACCCCTTTTTCCGTATAGCCTACTAAAAAGAAAAAGAAGAAAACTGTCGAAGTGGGATGTTGTGCGAATGATAAGATAGATGAGTGTGGATGTTATGAATGAGAAGAAGCTGGATGTCCTGGCTTTAACCCTTTCAGGGTCGAGAGGCCCTCTCCTAAACTTGTTCTCAGGGTCGAAATTTTTTGGGGAAAATTTTTTTTTTTTTATTTTCTTATGAAAAGATAGTGAATCTTCTCCCAATCATATTTTATTTATTTTTATTATCACACTGGCCGATTCCCACCAAGGCAGGGTGGCCCGAAAAAGAAAAATTTTCACCATCACTTCACCTCCCAATCATAGTGACACCAAAATTATGAAATTTGATGG